TGTCCCGTATGATCTTCTTCAGTTTGTCTATAAACCAAACAGATACAGATGCAAGATGCAATTTCCTTAATTTTGCATAAAACTACCAAATCATTGAGTGACTCGGCAAAATCTGTCTGTTGTGTGTTTCTGGAATACTCATCTGTTTTTCATTCTATTCCTCGTTCCCCCATTCTCCGTTAACTGGAGACCTTCGGTTATCCTAGTTAGCATGGCTTACCGCCCACTTCTCTGGGAGAACTCAGTGTACCCGGTTAGGTCGGAAGAGATCCAAACCGTTGTTGAACAGCTCTGGAGTACTTCAAGGTGCAGTCCTTTCGCCATACTTATTTTCTGCATATATCAGCAAGTTTTCTGCTAACGCCCCTACTTCTCTCTTCAAACCCGCCGACGATTCTTTTGATCTTTCATAATTTTCTGACAAATTGGAAAACTTTCCCATGACCCCACGACCCTAACGCGTGATGACACGTTCCCATCCTACTTGTTTTCCTAACCGTGTTACGATCACATCCTCTCATCTCTCACCCCTTTGCCAACCACACACCAAAAGCAATCAAAAACAACGAATCACACATAGCCATTGACGAACATTTTCATTTTCATTTGACCATATAACTGAATTAGCCCGAAGAAAAAGGTTGTCCTAAACGAGCTTGTTCGCCAAAATCATCGCGTTTTTTCTCCACGCCGAGATGGGAATTTTCCATGAAAAATTGGAAAACGTTCAACAATCTTCCGCCACCTAAGGTCTCTCTCTCTCTTAAACCCACCAAATGTTTCGAATGTCTCTTTACATTATCACGTTTTTCCTATCCATCTGAACCAGTATCCAGTATTCAATATATTGTCCGTAGACTTCGACGACTTTCTTTTCATATCCGTTAACTTCGTCTGTTTCATATTCAACAAGCAGTTATTTCCAAATTTGTGTACCAGTGTGTTTTCGCCGTTTTACTTTATTGTTCATCCGTTGTTTCTTTTCAATCTCTTAAAGAAGGATTTTAAACTGTTTCGACGTGGACTGACCATCATTAGCACATCTCTTCAATCCCGCTGAAGCAGTTGGTGACTAACGTTTGCGAACGTCATTTAGATGCACGTGAAAAGTTTGCACATAAGATTCTTATCGACTCCATAGATCCGCTACACACAGATTTAACTTCCTGTTGTTCCCGATGTGTTTCCTCTCGGATAAACATATATGGTAACTCTACAGTACCCCCTCATTAGCACGTATTCCAGTTAACGAAGAACAGGTTTTCACAGACGTTTTTAACAGTTTTGGGATCTAAATTTCTGTTTTCTCACCGTCTCCAATTTGCACATTTGTATTTGATTTATTTTTATTTCTTTTATTTTTTATTTTTATTATTTTATTATTATTATTATTTTATTCTATTCGTACAGAATGTGGTACATTAACAATAACAATCTGGGTGACCTAGAATGCTGGTCCCCAGTGTGAGCTGATTGGCACGGTGGTAACACACACAGATTCCATGTGGTTAGCCCAACTTTCTATGCCCGTCAGATATGCGTTACTGATGAGCGTTAATGAAAGCTAAACTCGCGTTTGGAATCGGTGGTTCACTGAACGAATTGAGAATTGTGCGTAAGGACAGAGTCTGAAGGATGATGATCACTCCAAATGGGTATCAGAACTAGAAAGACCGCTGAATTGAGTGGTTTGTCGTCTACCAAAAGAAGGTGTAAATAAGTTTGGAGTAGGACGACTTGTTTATTCACTTGCAAACATGCAATGAGTGATGTAGATCGATCGAGGGGGCGGTTGTAAAACAGGATCAAAAACCAACGAGAGTGCCTAGGTGTCTCGGAACGATCGCGAATGGGCTAATCCAAGCTTGATTCCCTAAACTGATTGAGCCATTCGCATAAGGTGATAACCGTCGGTCGTGTAGCTCAGGAGTAAGAGTTTGAAGTTCCGACCCGACTGTTCGCGGTTCGAGTCCTGGGACAGGAACACAACACGTACGTACTGCTGACGAGTCTCAAACAGGACGAAACAGTTGTCCCGGTGATCGTTGTCGGTTATCACAAGCATTTCCATTGTATTCGAATTAAAGAACTCAATGATGGATGGCTGAGCAATGGATGCTTGAAAACAGTAATTGCAAACTTTCAAGGTCACATACCAACTACATCCCAACGGATCAAATTCCACGAGAAATCGTCCATCAGCAACAGCAGAACCGGTGGTAATCAGTCGGTTGAACACAGAAGAGACACCGGCCCATATCAACCTGACTACAGGATGACTTGAAAGATGAACAGGGTAACGATCTCTGGTGGATACGGACGACAGGAACTCCAATGCACCAAAATGAATGAAAGTCGACGTACACAAAGACGAATAGAGCAACGTCGACCTCCCCCATCCTCATAAACTTCTTTTTGTGAAGTCTGCAAACCATTCGGGTCGACAGTGTTCCATTTTGATGAACCAATCCAGTTGCCATCGATACTGAATGCATGCACATCAATTTTTGATCGCGTTGCTTTCACCGCATGTTCCAAACAGCCTACGTCAGAAAACAGTTTGGGGATGGATCCTCTCTCTCTGTCTACACTATCGATCAGACTTCGCAGAACTCAGGTCAAGTCAACAATGCAATCGTTTATACGTCCATTATCGACAAATTTTGTTTTTTTTTTAGTGTAAAAACAATAACATTGGCTTTGGTGTGGTTGAAAATGAAAAAAACAGTTACACAGCTGTTAAGTAGATACCTGACGGGACTTGAGTGTTGTATAAAGTTGCCATATAAAACGAGAAAAATCGTATTATGAAAAATGCAACTGTCTCATCGACTAATCCTTTCACAAGAGGCACTGGGTAGGCAACGGTTCTTAGCTGTTAGCTACAAACCGAGCGCTTTCTGTGAACGTGAATTGTCAGTTTAGAAACTATTTGCCTACAAATACAATATCAACACACACACACACACGCACACACACCATAGCACATTAAAGTCAGACCCGAAATGCTTCCAGTTCGTGCGGAAAAATTATCCGTTTTAAGATGTTCACGGATGAGATGGAGAGGTGTATCAAAAAGTTCCCTTTCTGTTGTTGTCTCTCATCGCTCTATACGATGTGAGTTCCAGTTCCGAGATGCAATGCACACTGTGTGAGTCGGTTTCGGTGCATCGGAGTGATCGGAGCCGAAATTCTGATTCGCCCGTCCCTGTCACTGGTTTGTATTTCGTAACTGACAGCCACATTTTAAAGTTGACGATTTCTCTCCTCTCCTCTTTCTCTCTCTCACTTCGTCACTTGCTCTTCTCTCCCATTACACACACACACACACACAGGTCTACACCGAAGTCTATTTGAACAGCGCGGAATCAGTTTTGACGAGCATGTGAAACGGGAGCATAATATTTGGCATTACGTCTACTTTGTCATCTATTTGATGCTCAAACCGGACTCGCATCTAACCGGCCCTGAGAGCTACATTCGTGAACGCCTCGAGGTAAGATCATACAGCCCCGGCTGAACAATTCGACACACAAAAAAAGAACGTGAATATTTCCTTATTCATTATTGCAAACCATCCGTCAGCCTTCATTCTGATGCACAATTTCCTGGCTCGGCCAGTCAATCAGTCACTTGAAAAGCGCTATAAACTTCAGTGTCACTATCCCTAGTAAATACTTACTGGTCTCTTCGGGATGTAAACTTCCAGATTCCTTAGGTGAGGCGCGTATATCAGCACTAATCCAATCACCTCGAGCTGTTACTCATCAGAAGTATCACCTCCAGTTTGTTCATTTTTTGTCTTCGTGATAGCTCTAATTCGTTGCTTATCCAAGTGGAGTAGAGACCGGTGTCCAGTTCATCGGATCATACGCCCTTTGGACGGGGTCAGACGTCCAAGGTGCCCAATACACCTCAATGCCCCAGTTGGGCCGGTGACCATTGCCACAACCGAAAAGGTGTGGGTGAGTGTGGTTCGTACGCCTCCTCGTGGTTGGTTTGAAATCAGGGTTTTTGGTCAACTCCCCTAGGTGAACTGACAGTGATTCACCAGTCCGGTTATAGCCCCGGATGTCAGCTTTTCGTCAAAATAGACCACCAAATTGATCCTCAGGGCATATGTTTTGGCACTCAATCCCGGGCGGTGGTGGGGATGGTAACGTCATCATTTATCACCCCGGAGGACGAGTGTTCCAATCCCAGCACCACCACCGCCTGACTTTCCCCATTGTGTGTGTTGAATGGCAGCCCTTTGATTGGCCGCCTACCCCTTCCTGAAAATTGTATCTTTGTATATATTCAATAAAAAAAGTAAAATGAAAAAAAAGAAAATATCAAGTAGCCCACAGCAGTAGTCCCAAGAAGTCGTGGAATAGAAACTGTTGTTTTAGCATGATACTAAGTCCGCAATCTTGAAGCTGGGTCGAGCATTTTCAGTTCAATCTGTGCGATCCCCCTGAAGGAGCATAGCACACACACACACAATCCTGTGTTTACAAACACACACGTTTCAAAGGACTACCCTAAGTTGGAGATGATGCAGTCTGATCGGTTGAACCCATCTGTTCCAATCGTCCGAACTCACTGTGTTCTCCTTGTTTGATTTTGTTCTATACCCCAATTAGACTGACTAGCTACCCTACTCAATGCTCGTGCTCTGTTGTCAAGGTCAGTACAATTTGCTTACCACTCAGATGGAATATACCAATCAAAGATTTACATCAAACTTGTTAGATGTGACGTTGTCCATGATGTGTCTCGGTCTCCTAGACATTTCAGAAGCCCATGATTGAGGAAACTCATTGAGATTGTAATGAATGTGACTTCTTAGTCTTACATAAAAGAACATGGTTTTTCTCGGAAGCATTCCGGAAAAAATAGGCATCTAATTAATGAAAAAGTAACCATTTGTTAGCATTGGAGACAACCGTGAGATACCAAACAGAATCATCAGATGTAGCATGATAAGCTTGGTGGATTCGATGACTGAAACGCTGAATTAAGGTTTTCTTGCGATTGCTGACTCTCCAGTTCTCGTCTAGTATAAACTAGAACAATCGATAGCTAAGGCGTTGACTGACATATGTGAAAAAATTACGTTATAATCGCAATCGTTTTTGTTCATTCAAGAGTGTGGTGGCCCGATGATAAGTTCATTAAATTATCACTCNCTCCGGGGATGTGTGTTCGAATTCCACCACCGCCCATTCTGTGTGTGTGTGTGTGTTGAATGGCGGCCCCGTTTGATTGGTCACTTCCCCCTTCCTGAAAATTTTATAAATGTAAATTCAATAAAAAGAGAGTAAAAGAAAAAACAAAGAAAACGAGTGAAAGAAAGAAATTGTTTCGTAATTGGAATCCATCCTGAGTGACGTTAGTTAACAAAAAGTTGAGGAATAAAAAAGGCACCTTGGCTTCTGTCAATCGTCTTTTTTTAATGAAAAATGAACAAGATCCCCTTCACTCGAATCTAGCTAAAACTTAATAACCAGAACAACAACAACAACAACAACAACAATAGAGCATTCGAGCTATGTAGTGGCTATTATTATTATTATTATTATTATTATTATTATTATTGCAACACGTTTTTCGCAAATGCTTGTAACCAGTTGAGCACAAGGAAAGGAAAAATACAGCATGATAACAAAAAGGAACACAACTCGAATACAATTCCCCTTGCGTGCCGGGGAGGATCGTGGATTGCGCCACGGGGAACTCACGTCCGCCAGTTGTGACTGCGTGACACACGTACACGGCCCGTGTATTCACTATGACTCTAACTCGGTGAACACTCGACGAACCGGTACGCGTCAGTTATGAAGCTAAACCTGTGATAAATATGAATCTCACCGGAATTGTACCATTAGCTATGGAAGTGGCCAATGGAGACGGATTGAACCGGTTTATGCATCCTGAGTGTTTATCAAATAGCGCATGGATATGCGAAAATACCTCTTTTCATGTGGTCAAATTTTTCGCTTTCAATGAAAAATCCTACGATTTTGCACGTTGTGCCGGCATTCCGTTCCGTGAATGGCCAAACCCAATACCTGGTTCGAACTGTACTGGGCCGGCATACATACATACGTATGCGCACACCAGACTTCCCCATGATTGGTCCGAGCGACGGTTCTGTTTCCTATCAGATGGACAAATAAAACACTACGGGATTCCCGCTTGTGCCGTTTGATTTTTACACCTTTTTTGACCAACTCGTTATCTACTTTATCCCGGCATCATAATCGACTTGAACTGTCCGTTTCATCTGCAAATGTGATGTTACAGTTGCCCTGACAACAACATGCCAATTTTATTGGTCACTTACTGATTTGAACTGACTATCCTTCGGACTTCACCTTCACGCACATTCCTCAGCTCATCATCGATTCAACTATACACTGGGATGTACTATAGACTCGAGTTTCGCTCTTATTAGAGCTCATCAGTAGTTTATATCCACCTTCCCTTCCGGGATTTGAACTCCAGTCCCATCGCATTGAAGGCGTGTGCGTTATCGCTGTGCCAACCAGCACATACCATGACTAAACCAAATTACTCTCTCTCTCATGTGTATGTGTGTGTGGTTTCGTTTGCTTGTATTATTCCACTCAATCTCATTTCACTCCATCTTGATCAAGATGGAGTGAAATGAGATTGAGTGGAATAATACAAGCAAACGAAACCACACACACATACACATGAGAGAGAGAGTAATTTGGTTNACCGTCTCTTCCATACACCTAACCCAGTTGTGCTGAATGACCCGTCTATAGGTCTATGGGCTTTCATGCCCATGTTTCCAGTTATGTGACATGAAACTAGGTCATTTATTGATTTTACTTCTCTTAGCGCGCTAAAAATATATATATATATATATATATAGTGAAAGAATCGACGCGAACAGACGTCGGATACCATCTCCGCTGTGCACATCCAAACCAAAACCCGTCCGGTCATCATCACCGGCATCTCATCACCATCCGCTTTTGGCCTGACTTTGACCGCAACCTTGCACATTCACACAGTGCAGGAAAAACGGGTACAGCCCGCGTGCGTGTGTGTGCACGCACACACACACCAGAGCCTGGCTGCACCATTTCGTTTCCTCCCTCTAACCCAATTCCGATTCGGGACCGGACCAAACAGCTCACATTTGCTACCGATCGAGGAGCGATACAAGAACAAGAACAAGAACAACAGTCCACTGATTCCATCACTCGGCTCATGTTTTACACACACACGCACGCACACGTCGGTCAATGATGCATTGGTGGTGCAGTCTATTCCGGACACCAGGCACTGCGCGCACACACCACACACATACACACACACACTGCATGTATTGGCTTCAGAACGCTATTCGCTGTCTGTTCAGTCGTCCAGGTTACGGTCAAAGGCAACCGAATAATCATGTACTGGACCAAGTCTTGATTGATCCTCCTGCGTGCAGAACCAGGTGCGCATCGATTGTCCCCGAATCCATCCGACGCGAGTACGGACAAGCGAGCGATCGTCCAGTACCGTCCGTGTTCAATGACCGAAACCGCACGCGATCGGACGTTCGAATTCGTAGAGTGCAATGGAGATTACAGTGACTCGTTGGTGGTGGACCGACTGACGAATGGGGCATTGTTTTCACCGAGACGCGAAATATAACAAAGGTATAATGTTTTTATTGTGAAACAGAGACAAAGCTACAAATCGGAAACGTCCATAGATGATGGTGGCTGTTGATCTTGTTAAACGAATTAATAAATAAACTTAAAATAACAAAATAAATCTATGAATATTCACAGTCCTGTGATCTTGTCTCTATTGTGACGGTCCTTGTCGAGGTAAAGCCGAGCCCATGAGTTTGTTTGCGCTTCAAAACCTTGTGCACAATTCAAACGCTTTGACTGGACATCGATTCCGGTGCACAAAGCTGTGCACCCATAAAGCAAAGTTCTCGAACTTCCATATGAGGGTCCCGAGGGGGGGGGCGAGTGAGTGAGCATTTAAACAGTGGCTTCGGGTTGATTCGACCACAGGAAAAACTGGTAAAATGAATAAATCATCCGGTGTGTTCTTCATTTATGAACTAATAAATCTGTGGTAATCAGAAAAGTTTCCAGTTACGTAACCGGTGTTCCATACCCCAAAATTGATCACTGTCAAAGAGTACTACGGAATAAAATGGCCTGAAATGAAGCATAAGGTTTGTTGATAATAGTATTATTCTGTTCTTTCTTTCTTTTTCAATTATTACTTCCTTTTATTGAAGAATAGGAAAATGCAGTTTTCAGGAAGGGCGATGAGACAGTAGCTATTTGAGGCTGAACTCTACTCGCTATTGTCTATTCGCGTCCCGGTTGAGGATTGCAGTGTTTGACACCAGTAACAACGTAATTGTGCGTGTGTGTGGAATGCATAGGTAAACAGAACTGTGCTGTTATTCTTTGTCATTTTTACTTCCTTTTCATTTAATATTACAATGATACCGTTTTCAGGCAGGGGAAGCGACCAACCAAAAGGGGCTCGCATACAACACATAAAGGGGAAAGTCAGCCGATGGTACCGGTGAGATTCGAACACACGTACGGCGGGATGATGATTTGGTGACGTTACCCTGAGCCAGATATATGTTTAGGTATTGCAGATTCGGTGTGCTATTATGTCATCAAACTACCAACACAGGATTTGTTTGAATGTGAAAAATTAAACTACCAGTACACCACATTGGTCCCATTCAATAGACAATAGCAATACATTGTAGACCGGTGTTTCACGCTATTCCGTCAGCGTCTATTTAGCTGAATCTAATAGACGGGAAAAACCAATTGAGACTAAGTAGACAGGGCTGTCATTTATCAGTTGATTAATCAATCAGAGTCTTGTCCGGGAAAACGGAATGTGAGAAGGAAATACCGCGGTGTAAAGCACTTGCTCTGTGTACCTTGCACGATTGAATTGTCCAACAAGTGTGTGCGTGTGTGTGTTTGTGTAGAGCATGCAGTACCCGATTCTTCTTGGTCCATTCTACGCTATCCATTTAGCCGNATTTAGCCGGATTGAAATTTCAATTCGACTGCGCCCGGAAATTACGCGGGGTGTCCGAGTGGGGGTGGGAGGTGGAGAGTTGTATACAGTGCTTATCACGAACAGGCAAGCCTTTTTTACCTGGTATTACCCGATCTCGACTGTGATATTTCATCTTTTACAGATTAACCGACAAGCGGTTGCAAATTGTCATAGACGTTTTTCCTGAATCGAGCTAAGACTAAGAGTGATGCACCCTTCTAACGTGTTCCAACATGGATAAAACAGCTGTGCAGTTATGCCACCCTATCTTCACAAGAAAAATACGCCGGACTCATATCAACATATACATACATACATACATCACACTGGCCTCGTAGCTCAGCGGCGAGGGCGTGCGCTGTACAAAAACCCTAGGTAGCCTCCACGCCCTTGGGTTCGAATCCCCCCGAGGTTGAGGAACTTGCCACAAAGTTACGCACCGATAAATGATTCATGAACCATAGGTAAAATCGATTATACATATTACATTTTCCCAAACCTCGTTTCGGTAGTAGTTTGGCTAGAAAATGTACTACTTTCAGCTATATCATTTCAGAAGTCTAGAGTTAATATACCATAACTAATATAAGATTTTAGCCCCAGTTTTTCAATTTTCCTTTCACTCAGAAAGAATGCTTGGCAGGTGATACCATGCGGCCATATGAAATACTTGGTTCATGGTAATTCCCCATAAGAGTCCATCCATATCTCCCTGAACCAATCACTCAAAATGTCACACAATCGACCCAATTTTGGTTAGAGGTTTAGTAGCTTTGTTGCTGTTCACTTTAGAATAAGTTAGTTAACTAACTTCCGATACCTGTTTGAAATTGACCATCCACACTAGTCGGTAGCGTTCCAAGTCGTAGCCCCGGTAAACACCACACGTGTCTCTATGACTCCGTTGTGCGTGTGTTACTTCTTTCTTTCTGTCACCTTGTTGTTTTTTAATGACGCACAGCGATAATCAGACTAAATAAATGCGTTCGTCCCCTCATGGACAATAAATAAATACGGCGGGAGAGCTATGATCAATTACGGGAGGCCGAAACCGGTGGAATGGAAGCACGTGATCAATCGATCAATATATATAGCATAGACCACTTGATGATCACCACTGCTTCAGTTCGGGTTTTACTTTATCGATCCCACATTTTTGGCCTGATTGATGACTGGGGTTGTGACCACAGAGCAGTTTGTGAGTGATTTGGTTTTGCATTGTACCCAAAGCCATTTGTGTGTGCATGCACACACACACACACACACACACACACACACACACACACACACACGCACACTTGTTCAGTTAGACATACGAAGTTGATGTGCCAACAAGTCATATCAAGTCAAAAAAGCGGCTTTAATTGGCCCCATTCAGCTACTACACAATCACTCTTCTGTAGTGAAAATGGCATGGTAAAAAAGGCGGGAAGATACGCTGCATATAAAAACAAATTAAGGGAAATTTAGCAAAGCTTTTGTTTAATAGCCCAATGACACGATCGGCATTAGTGAGAAACCGTGCCAAGTGTGGTATCATGGAAGACCTGTATGTTGTGGTGCGTGCTGCTATATGCTTATACATACAGCGAGTGCTAGATGTGGAGATACATTGACTAAGATGAGGGTACAGTGGGTGAGATGGGTCTAGTAGTATTCTAGTAGAAAGTTTCTGGCAAGCCCTAAAGTGCTGTGAAATAATAAACTGCACAACATACTCACGGGATATGCCGCTGTATCGACATACGTGTTTGATGGATGTGCGTATGAGTTTGAAGTCTTTGATTAAAAGACCGGGAAAAGTAACTGGGGATGCATAAAGCCAGTGGGGAAGGATACATGATAAAACAAAATGCTTTATTAAGTGAGTTCGGGTAGATAGCATTTTCAAACGAATAATGTAAAAGGTGAGTTTTCTGACTTTGTGAAATGTCTCTACGACATGAGGAAACCAAGACAGATTACGAGAAATGGTGACTCCAAGGTATTTGACGGAGCATGCTCTGGAAACTTGTTCACCATTGATAATGATATACTGGCAAGAGTTCATCACATCAATATATTGATCACACTTCAGTAAAAAAAATAAAACATCATTACACTTGGAAGAATTCATTTCAAGGTTGTATTGTGAAGACCAGTCGTTGAGCAGTGAAATACTATGCACACGTTTTGGGTACACGCAGGTACATTTGATGAACAAACAAGCATCAGACGCAGACATGGAAGTATCAGACTTACCCGATAAATCTCATCACTCGGTAACGGATGATCAGTGTATTTTTCCAGTTCATTTGTTGTGCACATACAAGCCTCTCATTAAGTAAGTCTAATGTACCTACACGACAGCAATTGGCTTTCGATGAGTAAAAATGAAACAGCGCTGTTTTATTTGAGGATTTGGAAGTAGCTACAGATTTCATCACAACTGGTCACCGGTAGCTTTCTTTTTCACCCCCCACCCCTCTCTCTCTTACACACACACACACACATACACACACACACACACACACACTTTCAGCAAAATAATCTCAAATGGGTCCCTTGTCATCAGACGCGCACAATGGAACAGTTGACGAACGCGGAAGATTCGGAAGAATCTAGTCGCGTTACGCAACTGATCGCTCAATTGGAAAAAACAAGTGAACAGTTGAAGGAGATTGAATGTCGAATTGAGACTATGAGTGAGCAGGTGAGCTCAGCCACCCATTAGCAGTGACTCGTTATTTCTGTTTTAATCTGTATTTAATACTCTATCTGTCCCAGAAAGGTCACTCGCGAGGCTCATATTCTACCGTAGGGAGCAATGATAACGGTGATAACACACTCCGGACAGTTCTCAAAAATCTATTGCGGTATTTCGTGTCGTTCAACCCGTTTGAAACCGGATTTTTTTTCGTAGATTTATTCCATATCTGGTCTATCTTGGTGAGCTTGATATAGCTGACCACTCAGGGATTTGACTACCGACTATCCTGAGTCTCATGAGAAGGCTGTCTATTGTATTTGCACCAGATCGCAATCCGATCGATGATGCTCTCACCTTGATTGGGTGATTCAAATTGTATCGCTACCACGGATCGTTCAACAGTTGCAATGTTTGGTCGTGGATTGGTGGTGGTTATTGTTCTCCATTTACAAAAAATTCATGACCTTTGTCGAATTTGATTAAAGCTTGGTACCCATCACTACTGTACAGCTATTTCTTCCTTGCTAGGAATCGTCAGCAGGGTTGGCGATGATGTGGAATGATTGTTGCTCAGGTGTTGTTGAATTCTCGGAGCTGGAAGTGCTGTCCGCAGACGTTTCGTAACCAAGCTAGGCAACGTTATCTGTATGAATTCGGGAAAGTGTCAGTCCTCAGTAGGATTGGGCTTATATCGTTTTATTTGAGGGTTTCGATTGGCTGTTTGCGTCCTTTTAATCTTATTGGTCAGTAGCAACCGTTGGCTGTGATTTGATTGGCTGCTTCGTTGTCATCGTGACCATCCTTTTTTTCTCATTGGTCGACTGGCTTTCCTAGACCAACCGCAACTGCAACACCATCATCAACAGTGTATATATGCACATCAATACCTCTGGGAATCGAACCCCTGTCTACGGAGTTCTTTACTCAACGCTTAGCCCAACCGGACTTATTCTTAGCAGTTTTTCGTTTGATAACTCTTCCAGTACACTTTTGACCACAGATGATATACACTCCTCACGGTTCCTACCAACTACGAAGAAGCTGTCCATTACTATCAACTCGTTTTCATGGTAATTCGGCAGGACAAATTCAATGTCGCCAATTTGCCAATTGGCGACTAAAACATTAATGAAACAACCTCCTTAGGAGGACTTAGTTAAAAAGTTCATCCTATCCACCCGATGAATGATCCGTTTTGTGTGTTTGGGGGGGGGGGGG